CTTCCTGCTCTTCTGATGCTGCTTGGCCTGCTGTGTTCATCCAGCTCTACACCTTGTTATCTCAGATTCTCCAGCATCTGCAGTTCCTGCTATCTCTGAAACGATTTCAATGTGCAGTTGCTTAAAGGGGACAAGTCTTGAGCCGTTTGTACTGTACTTCCTGAGTTGCTAATTGGCAGCATACATTCAGAATTTAGAGAGAATTTGCAATGCTGGAGGATGCACCAGTGGGAGCAAGGTAAGGCTGAATTTCTCAGCAGACAGTGCATCAAACCCCAAAGCTATTAGGCAACAGAAATGCTTTTAAACTGATGTTCATCTTTAAGTAACATTAGCGCTATTTTTTTAAAAGTAACATGAGGACTATCACTGTTTTCAAACAGCACTAATATTGTTACATCAACACTGAGTCTGTAATGGGAAATAATTATTCTTAATTTATCTCTAATCAGGTCTTTAAGTAGTTGAAGAGGCGTCTTCAAAATGATGGAAGGTACATGCAATTCAATTGTCAGGTTAGTCAACCTGGGGATCACAGTTCAGGAGAACATGAGAATCAAATTGACAAGCCTGAAGCAAAATTGTGATAAAGAAGTATTTTTCTCTCACAGTGTAATAGATATGTGGAATAACCCTCTAGCAAGCTTTGTCAATGTTATTTCAGTTAAATAACTTTTCCCACGAATTCTCTCCTCTGATTTTCCCATACTTGTTCTTCTGTTTCATGCTAAGTTCTGGTTCCAGGCGCATCAGTAACCCTTTGATGTATCACCCCAGGGTCCCCTTCCCTTTTTATGTGGAAACTTCCAAATGTTGAATTTGCAGGCACCTAGTCACACCACAGAGTTTGTGAGGACATTAGGAGAGGTGAGGAGGGGCTAAGATTGCATAGTTCAAAAGGCTGCAGACATTTGGATTTGGCTAACAGATAGTCATGGTACTGAGGGACATGTTTCATTGTTAAAGGTTCTGTCATTCTTCAGTTGTTCAGGTACATTCTGATGAATGTAAAAACATGCCATGATGCTACTTGGAGAAGAGAATTCTCCTGAGTCCTGGCTAACATGCCTCCTGCAACTACAACCTCCAAAAAGAAATGATCTGACCATTCATCATATTTGTTGATCATGGAAGCTTGCTGAGTGTAACTTTGGCTAAGTTGCCCAGAAACAACAAATAATAATTCATTGGATATAAAGCTTTTTAGATTATGCCCTGAGGACATGCTAAATAAAGGCAATATTTATTTATAGAAAACATTTGACTATGATTCTTTCACAATTTCTCCAGAGTTCCTGGGATAAATTTGGGCTGCTGGAAGTAACCCAGGGACTCACAGGGAAGGAAGTGTAGGTTGTACATAATAAATCAACATAGAGGGACAGGATCGTTTCATTAACTAATGACTCCAGTGAAATTTTAATTTGGAAAAATAATTTCCATTGATTGAATTAGGAGCTGCTCAATACAGAAAAAGTAAATGTTGCTGCATTTTACTGGGAGAAGTTTAACAAATGAATGTCATTTATTTGTAGTATCAATATCAAATAAGAAGTGAATAACTATGTTGTAATTCACATTCTTCTGATACGCAATTCAGTTACTTTTTAAATGTGAAAACTTGGCATTGTACAAAACATTCATGGTTCTACCTTAATATAGGCGCTTATTATGATGTTGTTTAATAGAGTAGATAGAGAGAAAATGTTTCCACTTGCAAAGAAGATTGTACAGGACAGTCATCAATAAAAGCAGAAGAAAATTCAGGAGAAAATTGCCTTTACATAGAGAGTGGTAATTGTGTGGAACTTGTTACAGAAAGGCTTGGTTGAAGCAAATAGCTGAAATCCATTTAAGATTAATTAACCACCTTGAAGGTGACTCAGAAATAACAAGATTATGTTGATAGCATTAGATGAAATGAAGTTGGACAAGGTTTAAGTGAAATAGAAATAACTAGAATAACTAGTGGGGTTGAATGGTCTGCTTCTGTGTTTAATTTTAGTCACAATATTGAACATGAAAACAGCTACTAATCTATATATATAATAAATGAAAGATCATAAATGATCCAATCTACTAGTCTTTAGTTTTATATTATCCATTAGCTTCTTTCAATTCGATCAACATGACCAGCTCATCAAAATAACCATTGCTCCAGCATATAACTTCCAAACGTGACCCAAACATTGAATTTTCTAATGTCCAGTTTACTTTTCCTCTTTCTTTCCTTCATTCCTGAAGTCATCATCTTCAACATTGGATTCTGGATTTCCTGGGCATCAGGCTGGCCTTTAAGTGACTCACTCAAGTGGCCAATATCAATGTGTGATCCTGGAAGGTATGCCCAGATAAACATGCAAGGGGTATAACCACAACTGATCCCCTTATACACAAGTGAAATTTCCAAAAAAATGGTCAGGAGATTAAACCTATAGATCCCACTCCTCACTTGAGTCAGTTTGTTGTTATGGCACCTTTACCAATATTTGAGTGAGATTGTGGACTAGAGATCCAGCCTAGGACATCCCTCACTTATTCAGTATCTCCTACACAGGTCTGAGTCAAGTGTTTGATAATGCTTCTGTGAAGCTCCTTGGGAGGTTTTACTCAATTAAAGACATATGTAAACATAACTTGAAGATGGAAATTGTAGATCTGTGTTATTGAAGGAAAATTAAATTGAATACAAAGTGCTAACTCACACTTAAACAAAGGATAATGCCATTAACTTTTGTTCTTTATT